CAAAAAACTCATTTAACAGAACAAATTCCTAACTCTCCTTGCCTCTATCTCTAAAGTTGATCGCATCGCCGACCACACAGAAGCATTCTTGAAGACTAATAGGTAAGCTTCTTTCCATTCTTAGTCCATTGTTTGCATTTTCCTTTTTTTGGGGGGTAATATATATATATATATATAGTAGGGGTAACTCGTGCCTGAAAGTACGGTGTAATGTGAATGATTTTGAGAGGGACGTTGATGACCGTTGGATGAGTCTATTTAAGATCGTCAAATAAGCATATTAAAGTCTCATATTTTATATTATAGATTATAGATATATTCTGCAAGCTATATTTTATATAGAGTAATTTTTTCTCGGCCGAACCATCGTTTTTGTATTTGATTAATTGTTATCATCGAGCGTTTGATGAGAGAAGAAAATTACTACCATGAAAGATAAGAATATGAGGCCTGAAATGGAATTGGTGGTTAAGTAGGCTAAAAGTTTTGCAATTTCGTATTGTAGAATTCATTTGGGAAATCCAGATATATTTTCGAATTTGGAGACGAATAACAACAATGTTTCTCTTTTGTTGCCTTTGCTTTTTAATTATTGGTTTCAAGTTTGGTTGATAGGTTTTGGAGGGAATGAAACAGGAGAATGAGAAATCATAAAATGTTTTGGTGGAATTTTTTTTAAAAGATTTGAATTTGTCCATTGAAATACTCTATACTAAATTAAGTTTTTTACTCAAATTTAGACTCAAATTTCATGATTAAAGATGCTCTAATGTGATGTTTAATAAAATTGAATGTTGAACTTTAAGTGCTGAAGGCTGAATTTTTAATTCACGAACTATTTGGTATCTAATGAAATTTAAATACTGAATTGAACTAAACTGTTTGATAAGTATACAGTGCAGACGTCTGAAAATTAATTAATTATTAATTTTATCCTTCCACTCTTTACTTAAAATTATTTATAAAATATACATTTATCTAATAAATACTCACAATATATCACTAAAAGTAATTTATAACACAAATCATAATCACTTATATCACATTATAGTTAAATCCAATTTTGGGGGTGGATATCTTGTGTATTATTTTAAGTTTTATTGGTCACAAATAAGTAAGACAAATGATAATATACTATTTGTGTGAGAGAGAAAATAACAACTGTAGCATGCAAAGTTGAAGGTTCTAACATTATACAACATTCAATATATAAAAACTAATAAATTGATCAATTAAAGAATTGAAAAATAAAGATTGAAAATATACATACTAAAAAATATTCATATAGAACAAATAAAAGACTTGAACAATAATAATAATAAAAAAATGATTGTGTGCAGATTTGTGTGTGACTGTGTGGATTTGTGTGTGTTTGTGTGACTGTGTCTTTCGATTTGTGTGTGACTGTGTGTGAGTTTGTGTACTAGTGTGTGCGAATTTGTGTATGATTTTATGTGTGCGTACGTGCGTATTTGTGATGGAGTGTATGCATGTATTTTTTGTGGATATGTGTGTTTATGTGATGGAGTGTGTGTTTATGTGTTGGAGGTGTTTGACAGAGACGACGAATAGGATCGGCATATTAGGAATTTAGGGGAGGAGACTAACTAAAGTTTGAATATGGTTGGAAAATATTTTAGGGTAAAATTGTCATATTTAAAAAATTATAATTTTAACTAATTTTTAAGGAAAACTTAATCTTAATTTTTAAAGAAAACCACTAATTACCTTTATCTTGATTGTGTCCATCCATGAGCAACCTAATTTAGTTCCAAACCCATATGCCAACATATAGCATTACTTCTTGAAAGAAAAATCGTGGCAAGACTAGTATAAATTGCATGCAATGAACTAGTGTCAATCTGTTATCATATCTCATATGCAGTTCTAATGGTTAATATCTCGAAAATGATAAGTATAAGTCTTGCAAGAGATGTTCTGATTGACTTGATACACGTAATTTTTCGACACATTGTAGTAATGATGATTGATTATTAAAAATTTTATTGAACAAATAGCTTTAATGTGGAGCACATACAACATTATGAAAAGCGTTATACAAGTCTAAGGAATTTGTAGAGCAGGTGGAAGTGGGCAGTTGGCCTCACAATATGATTTGTCCGGCCAACAAGGATCTCCAGCCGTGAAATAACAACACCAAATCTTTCTTCCATTGTATCTTGGCTGGCAATGTGGGATATAAAGTTTCTCCCCTTTCACCCAATTATTACACGATTTTGAAGCTCCAATTTCCACAATATCTGCATTGTTGGTACCTCAAGGAAAAAAAAACACAAAAAAGGAATAAATCAAAACAAACTCAAAAGGATTTTTTATTTTTTGATCTGGAAATTTGATAAAAAATCAGAATGTTTTTATCTCGGTGAAATTAAAACTGTCCAAAAAAGGCCCAGCTCTGAAGCAGAGAAAGACCCAACAAGTGGCAAGAGAAAGGTACAAATTTCAGATTCTGTGCTACTTTTAGTACTCTGTACACCATTTTGGAGCTTTTTACACTGTTGCAAAAGTTCTTTTGAATTTTGTTGGGTAATGACTCTATTCAAGGTTCAAAGTTTCAGTTCAGCTAAACTGATATGTAATGTCATTGTTTCATGGTCAAGATGGTGTTTGTTTTGTATCAGTCAATACCATGTCCATCATTGGGAGAATTTCGTTGCATGGCATAGAAGAGAGAGAGTCAATTGGGCGGGAATTTCACTGCATGGTTTTTAACACGTTGCAATTTCGCTTTCTTTTGTTGATGAACCTACATTTAATATAAATTAACACATGAATTTCACACAAAACAATAATACAACATAATACAGCATGCAAAATATGAAGCACAATCGACTGACGCAGATCAAAAATCAAGCAATAATAAGGTAATATGATGTCCCACAGATATGCCAAACCACATGTTTCAAACAGTAATTGCCAAAACTCAGAATATGGACTGGCAGAATATGGACAGCCATGAGTCTCAGTACAGGTGCTATGGTCAGAATGAAAGTAATTGCAACAAGATCAATACCAGTCAACAAACTCATGTAATATTTGAGCTACTATTCCATTTATTGACTCACCTGACCAAATGAAGATGCTCTAGAATGACCGCGAAACTCTGTGTCTCGCACTGCCAGACTTCTTGACTCACTCCTCATTGATGATCGATGGGAGTTTATATTATGAGTACTAGATGCATCAGGTACCTTTTAAGATTGTAAATACTTAATATTCATGGAGAAAAATAATACGATAATACAATAACTATTCTAACTCAAAATATAAGTCGCTGAAGTTTTTATTACCTTTTCAACCGGAAGTGGATTTGTGTTTTTGCGAGCTGGTTCAGGAATAAGCATACCCATTGCACGCATTTGAACGAGAAAAACCTCAAATTGTCTTTGTTGAGCCTCAAACTTAGCTTCCATCTGACTCATTTGCTTCTCCATTTGTGCCGGCTGAGCCTCCATCTTTAATTGCTTAGCCTCCATCTCTGTCTTATGTCTACTAAATTGCTCATCTAGTTGGGATTGCATTGCTTGCATTTCTTCTGATTTTTTATGTCCAAACACATCTCTCGGAGATGGTCCAAAACCATATGTTCTAACATGTCCAGGTCACTCCGGTCCCATGACTTGAGTGAAAACTTCATCTACTGCTGATGACGATTGCATAGAAGACTCTGGCATTTGTGACATAAGTTCATCCATGTCTGACTGCAGTAAAAAATAATTTGAAACAAATATAAAACATAGGCGAAATAAGAATGGATAAATAGTGAACATCTTCTTGCCAATATTACATACCAAGGCTTGTGCAACAGCATCATTAGCTGGTCGACCATCTTTCTTTGAATATGCAACCTTAAAAAATTCAATACGACTCATTTTCTTCCCATTATTCTTTTTTTTTTTCCTACAGTTAAAATAGACACAATAAATAAACTTGAATAAAAGTATTTTATAAAACACAACTGTGTTCTAACAAACCCTTTCCATAACACATGCAAAGCTTGTTTGGCCAGTGGTGTGATAAAATTGTTTCTTGCTCCGAATGAATTTGTNACGACTCATTTTCTTCCCATTATTCTTTTTTTTTTTCCTACAGTTAAAATAGACACAATAAATAAACTTGAATAAAAGTATTTTATAAAACACAACTGTTTTCTAACAAACCCTTTCCATAACACATGCAAAGCTTGTTTGGCCAGTGGTGTGATGAAATTGTTTCTTGCTCCGAATGAATTTGTTCCTCTCACTTTTTTGCAATTACATGCCAAAAGCAATTATCATAAAAATTTGAAGAAAAAGAGAAATGACTTCTTTTAGAATTGACAAGATTTACACTTGCATATTTGTACCTGTGCGTTCGGAGTGCTCCAATAATAGACCAAGGCCCGCCAATGTGATTCCTCCACTCGGTTAGGCTTGTGAGCTAATCTTTCTACATCAGTTCTATAGGGATAATAAGCTTGTTTCTTAATCTCACACTTCCACCCTATAGACTTCATTAGATATCTTTTCATCCACTCTTTTTGCATCAGTGGTTACCTACAATTCCATTCAAAAACCACTAATAACATGCAAAAGCTATATACAATAACTTAGTAGCTATAAAATAAATTCAAATGAACTGGTCAAGAGTTTTCTAGGCAAGAGAATCAGCTGGATGTCTTGGTACCCCATCATTTGTTCGGTCTGTTGCATGCCATTTCATCAATGATGCTGTTTTTGATGACATAAACAATCTCTGAAGTCTCGGTATTAAAGGGAAATACCTTACAACTTTTTGCGGAATTTTTTGCCCTCCAATATTTGTTTCATCTCCTTGACCATCAATTTGTTTATATCTAAATGTTTGACATTTCTGACAGTTATTCATAGCAACTGTCTCCTTCCAATACAACATGCAATCATTGGAACATGCATGTACCTTAATGCAATCTAGACCTAACTCTTTAATCAACTGCCTAGTTGCATAAAATGAAGTGGGCAACGTGTTACCCTCAGGTAACATATCCTTTAGTACTTGAAGTCACATTGTGAATGACCTGTCGCTCTATCCATTAAGACAATTGATGTGCATCAATTGAACGACAGATGACAGTGTTGAAACATGGTACATCCCGGATATAACTTTCGTTCAGCTTCACTCAACAGTTTGAAAAACTTTTCTGTTGCCAGATCTTACCCTTCTCTATTATCTCTTTCAGATTCGTCACTACTCATTCCACAAACTGGACTTGGAGGGGGAATCCCAAATGCATCATGCAACATTTCTTGAATTTCATCTCCTGAACTAGAGTCATTTGATTCATTATCTATAGAAACCGAAGCAAATGAACTTTCCCCATGAAAAATCCAATGAGTGTAACTCTCAAGAAACCCATCTACAATCAAATGCTCTTCCAAAAGTTCCACTTTTACCAATCTAACATTACGACATTTTTTGCATGGGCATGTGGTTTATTTTCACATGCAAACTTGATAAAATTCTTAACTCCTTTTTCATACAATGGATCCAGTATATGTAAATGTATCCAACTCTTATCCATAAACGTATTCCAATATGATATGCTTACAAATCTGAATCATCAAACATATGCGGTTTTAAGATACCAAAATAATTGAACACAAAAAAAAACGAGGAAACAAAAAGAATTGGAAACTCAGCAATCCTATACCGTATTTTTTAATAATTATGTACAATCAAATTCATGGTTTCCAGATACATTGCACAACCAAATTCCTAAATGTGAGAATGGAAATAATTGCATAAAAGAACAGAAAAAGAAAAAGAAAATAGAACTTTCAGATCAAGTAGGTATTTTTTCTAAGAACAAAAATCTAGCAATTTCAGCAGAACAAAATTATGGCAATATCTGAAATTATACCAATCATCTGATTAGACAATATCTGAAATTAGATAAAAAAAGATAGAGCAAGGCATATCATACCACTCACCCACAACGATGGGTAAACACAAGTGACACAATGCTCATAAACGCTACAGTGCCTGTCCCTGTAGCAATTGAAAGTTTGAATGGTAAAATAAGCATTTATTGAATACGAGAAGCATGAAGATGTTAGCAACAACAATTACAGTCATGTACTATAAAAGGAAACACATCGAGACAGAGCTCGAATAATGCTGCGGAAAGAAACACATGAATCAACATTCCTGAAAAGCTTTAACAACCAGTACTACGTTACATAATATACTCCTCAAAATGATCTCAGCCAGGAAATGCAACTTTTACAACAAATTGCCATGGCAATTTATCGAACATGTGGTATGCAGTGACTGGGTGAAAGGAGAAAGGGTAAAGGGGGCTACGGGGTGAGTCTACAGTCATGGAGAATGAGTGAGTGAGAAGGGGAAGGAGAGAGAGAAAGAGATCTGTTACAGATCAATCACAGGTATGTTACTCCGGAAATACGCAGAATAGCAATTGGAGAGAGAGAGAGCGTACGTTGAAGTCACCGAATCCAGACCTGCTTATAATGCCGGAGTTGAAGTCACCTTAGGGAGGGACGACGAGGAGTCGGGTTTTGAGAAGAGCCAGCGAGGAGTAGTTGCAGAGGGTCGACNAGCAATCCTATACCGTATTTTTTAATAATTATGTACAATCAAATTCATGGTTTCCAGATACATTGCACAACCAAATTCCTAAATGTGAGAATGGAAATAATTGCATAAAAGAACAGAAAAAGAAAAAGAAAATAAAACTTTCAGATCAAGTAGGTATTTTTTCTAAGAACAAAAATCTAGCAATTTCAGCAGAACAAAATTATGGCAATATCTGAAATTATACCAATCATCTGATTAGACAATATCTGAAATTAGATAAAAAAAGATAGAGCAAGGCATATCATACCACTCACCCACAACGATGGGTAAACACAAGTGACACAATGCTCATAAACGCTACAGTGCCTGTCCCTGTAGCAATTGAAAGTTTGAATGGTAAAATAAGCATTTATTGAATACGAGAAGCATGAAGATGTTAGCAACAACAATTACAGTCATGTACTATAAAAGGAAACACATCGAGACAGAGCTCGAATAATGCTGCGGAAAGAAACACATGAATCAACATTCCTGAAAAGCTTTAACAACCAGTACTACGTTACATAATATACTCCTCAAAATGATCTCAGCCAGGAAATGCAACTTTTACAACAAATTGCCATGGCAATTTATCGAACATGTGGTATGCAGTGACTGGGTGAAAGGAGAAAGGGTAAAGGGGGCTACGGGGTGAGTCTACAGTCATGGAGAATGAGTGAGTGAGAAGGGGAAGGAGAGAGAGAAAGAGATCTGTTACAGATCAATCACAGGTATGTTACTCCGGAAATACGCAGAATAGCAATTGGAGAGAGAGAGAGCGTACGTTGAAGTCACAGAATCCAAACCTGCTTATAATGCCGGAGTTGAAGTCACCTTAGGGAGGGACGACGAGGAGTCGGGTTTTGAGAAGAGCCAGCGAGGAGTAGTTGCAGAGGGTCGACGCCAGAGAAGTCGAGAGATTGGGGAAAAATTTAGGTATATGTTGGGGGAGAAAAATTTAGGTATACGTTGGGGGAGAAAAAAAAAAGTTTTATAATTTAGAATTTGTAGCGTTTGATTAAACGTTAGAAATTAAGCGAATTTTTTTTATTAATAATTTGTGGCATTTAACTTAAACGCCGGCAATTAAGCGAATTTTTTTTTTATTAATAATTTCTGGCGTGCAAAAACAAACGCCAATTTTTAGTGGCGTTAAAGTTAAACGTCGAAAATTAAATGCCAANATTCATGGTTTCCAGATACATTGCACAACCAAATTCCTAAATGTGAGAATGGAAATAATTGCATAAAAGAACAGAAAAAGAAAAAGAAAATAGAACTTTCAGATCAAGTAGGTATTCTTTCTAAGAACAAAAATCTAGCAATTTCAGCAGAACAAAATTATGGCAATATCTGAAATTATACCAATCATCTAATTAGACAATATCTGAAATTAGATAAAAAAAGATAGAGCAAGACATATCATACCACTCACCCACAACGATGGGTAAACACAAGTGACACAATGCTCATAAACGCTACAGTGCCTGTCCCTGTAGCAATTGAAAGTTTGAATGGTAAAATAAGCATTTATTGAATACGAGAAGCATGAAGATGTTAGCAACAACAATTACAGTCATGTACTATAAAAGGAAACACATCGAGACAGAGCTCGAATAATGCTGCGGAAAGAAACACATGAATCAACATTCCTGAAAAGCTTTAACAACCAGTACTACGTTACATAATATACTCCTCAAAATGATCTCAGCCAGGAAATGCAACTTTTACAACAAATTGCCATGGCAATTTATCGAACATGTGGTATGCAGTGACTGGGTGAAAGGAGAAAGGGTAAAGGGGGCTACGGGGTGAGTCTACAGTCATGGAGAATGAGTGAGTGAGAAGGGGAAGGAGAGAGAGAAAGAGATCTGTTACAGATCAATCACAGGTATGTTACTCCGGAAATACGCAGAATAGCAATTGGAGAGAGAGAGAGCGTACGTTGAAGTCAC